GAGAGAGAGAGAGAGAGAGAGAGAGAGAGAGAGAGAGAGAGAGAGAGAGAGAGAGAGAGAGAGAGAGAGAGAGAGAGGTGAATAGGCTATCAAACATTCTCACAAGGGAAGGTTGCCCTTAACGTGTAGGGACAACCAACTGCCCAACATTGATGCATGCAAATGCCATAGCCTGCACGCGTGCATTGATGGATTTTTTTTTACGTCCGTTGTTTCTTCCGTCTGCTCGCTCGATTATTCTTCATAATGATCAACTGTCGAACTAATTAACGTATGCCTGAACGGTTGTTCGGCACGGTCACATTTCGCAACCTCAGTTTACTTTCCAGGAGCGGATATTGTGGTTTGGGCGCACATCACACGTGATGAAGGTAAGGAGCAGTGAGGATTAAGGGGTTTATGACTTGTCATCCTCACTCTTCTCGCGGAGGGGAATTGATACCTACATTGATATGAAAAAGTACCTGACGAGCTGAACGGATTGATGAGAATATTATTGACGAAGCTCACGGGTCCACTCCGGTGACGCTAGGCGGTTTCTCTTATTAACGGCGGGGGGACCACGGGATTAATCTGATGAGTAGAGGATACAGGGATCGAGACCACCTGTGGAGGGTTTTGGATGGGAAGGGAATCAGACCAATTGTGGATTTAAGGGTTTAGGAAGACTAGAGTGAAGTAGCTAGCGGACACAGACTCACATTCACACGAGTAGTATAGAATTTCCAAAGGTTCGAGTTGCTTCTCAGTGAAAGGATGAAGGGATTGCCTCTCTGTGAAGGATATGAACGGTTAGTTACAGAGAGGATGGATGGATAGAAGCGGGTTACGTGCGGTTGCAGATTGTGAAGAGTGAAAGCCCCCCGGTGGTGGTCAGTGCTGGCGACCGTACGAGAGTGGGAGGTGATGCAAATGACTCATTTGCATCTCGCAGATGGCATTGCGTAGTGGTGCTGTTGCGATGGCAACTGAAGCTGCGAGGTCTGTGTTAGAGAGTGCGCGCAACTGCAAATATATAGGAACTACGCATTAAAGAGGACAGCTTTTGAGATTTTAAGATTTCGCCAGAGCGTCGTTGTTTCCTCCTCGGCTTTCATCGCGTGTCTGTGTTTCTGGATTTACATGAATGGACAGGATGATAGGTGTATTGACGGTAGGCAGATAAGGCACCCGACAAATCGGACGAAAATCAACGAGTTGGCATTGTGAACTGCAGGCACTGTGGTCGTCTTCAGTTTTTCAGTTTACTATAATGTGGCAAGTAGCGTAGCGTCAGCTAGACGCGGCAGTCCGGTAGTTATGACGTTGGGCTCAGTACGTCGAATTTGGTGTTGCAGTTTTGTCGGAGTACGACGACGTGATTGTTGGCAGTCATGACGTGAACGATCAGTTATAACGCGGCGACTCTGTTGATGTGCTTAGGAAGATGAACGGGAAAGTGATGAGTTAGAGAATGTGATTATGAGGAGCAGAGAGGGTGGAGAGTACAAAAAGCATCAATGGCTTGAGTCGTAAGCAAGAAAGATACAGGAAGGAAATCGTTGATCTCCTAAGCAATCCCTGGATGACCTTCAGTCTGCGTGCTTGACTCGTGGTGGGGTTAACCACGGTCGGGTTTTGCCATGTTGGTTGGTTGGTGGTTTTCCCTCGTTCTTTGCGCTTGTGCGTGGTTTGTGTCTGGTGCTATGGGTGTAGGTTAAGGAAGTGGTTACCTGTTCAATAAGTGATAGTTAAACAGTCAGGAGCCATTTTTCCTTGTGTTTGTGCTGCCTGTTGATTGAACCTTGGGTAAAAGCTTGACCCGGCGTTTTGGTGTTCTCTGGAAAATCTTCTGACGCTGTTGCCTCGTCGTGTCTGTCAGTGTACGAGATTTTCGTCTGGTTGATCGCGCCTATGCATCCGTTCTATGTATCGCTTTCTCGTCTCTCTCTCTCTCGCCATCCATCTATATATCGCTGTGTACGGTTGCCTGTTTATCTATGGGGCATTCACACTCGTTTCGGGCGTGTATCCAACGGGAGCGCGAGCATGAACACATGCGGTTCACTCTGGCCGAGTGTATTACGAAAGTCACGCACATAATAGACACTCGGTTCTCTATCCTGTCGCTTTCCCGACGGGTGTACTGAACAATGGCTTGGCCAATAACCTCGACGCAGTCTTCCGTTTATTACAACTCGTCAGCTACGCGCTCTTCTGACGAACCCCACCTTTCTAAACTCTTTGATTTGTCCGAGTATATCTTGTCTTGTTTATGTCCCCATGCTTGCATTCCTCCCTGATTGGTCAGTTTTTTGCATATCCGAGTATATCTTGTCCTATATGTCCCCATGCTTGCATTCCTCCCTGATTGGTCAGTTTTTTTGCATATATGTCCCCATGCTTGCATTCCTCCCTTATTGGTCAGTTTTTTGCATATCCTCGTCGCTTTCCAGTGTCGCCTTCGGTTGTGGCCTTCGTTTGTCGCCTTCCTTCTGATTCCGTCAATGGGCTTCGCTCCACTACTCACCACATGCACAAAGGACAAAGGACAAAACGGCAGATTCACTCTCAATTTGCACATTTGGTGAGTCAGTGGAGCGAGGCCCAATGTCATTACGGAGGCGATGAACCAGGTGAACTGCGGGAATCCAAGCAGCGAATCGCTCGCTCAGGGAGCACGAAAGAATGCGGCCCAACCTAGAGGAGGAGAAGAAAATGGCACCCTACCCTACCCAACCCAACCCCCCGCGAAAATGAGAATTGGTTTTGTCTGCTTAGCCTCCCACTCGAGGTTTCTCGCCTTCGTCACTGAAATTTCTATCTCCTCACTAAGGTATTGTATTGTTTTATAAATTTCTCTCTATCGCCCATTCACATTCCTGGAAGTGTTGCTCTTCCTCACATCGCCACTCTCTGTTTCCTTTGCCGTTCGTTGCAAGCTACCCGCGTGCACTTGCCGATCAAAACACCATTCGTTCCGTCCAGCAAGCCAAGTTTACTTTTACTGAGCACTGTTGCACGCTGTCGGCAATTACCGAGGCAATGCTTTTTTACTGTGGCCAATTATTACCTGCGCACGCCGTGGCCGATCGTGATGCTCGCTTTCGGCAACTCCCCAGGCAAACTGCCGCCATCAACCATCCAGCGTAACTTTAATTGCCTACATCTCATCCGCTCTGCTCATCTCCAGTCATTGTCGCCCCGAACTTGACCCACCCACAGTCGCCTAGTACTTACTGCTCTCGCAGCCACATCCCAACCGACGGCTTTTTTACGCAGTGCATCCCTCCCATTGAACACGCTGTGCGCCAACGCTGATCCCTCTTTTAAGGCCACGCTGAAAATCACCCTCGATCGCCACCGGACTGCTGGTCGGTTATCCTTTTTGCTGGCAAACTTCGCGCCGAAGCCCTTGTCAGTCGCGCAGGTCGTTGAAATTCTACACTTACTGACTAATCACGTCAAGCCCGGCGTCAAGTCGATCGCTGCATGTGATGTCACGTTCCCTCCGTTCTAACGTCATATTTGGCCAGTCGCTGAAACGCTCACTCCCTGAGTGGAAGGAAGTTGCCTCTCGCTAGGAGTTGAAGTTGATCTCGGTCACTCGAAGATCAATCTGTCGATCGGTGGAATTCGCTCTCCGTTCAATAGCTCCGACGTCGGTC